GCTACAGAAAAATAATGGTGTAAATACACACATTATGAGATTTTAATGATTTTACTTTTATATTTCACACTTTTAGTTTGGAACATTAGTTAATATTTTAACAGGATAGAATAATATAGATGGTATACTAACGTTATAGTCTAAAGTGCTTATAGTATTTACCTAGGTATAGTTTATGATACCTATATTCCTATGATTTACACTTTTAATGGTTATCTTTAAAATTTAAATTTTTAACTAAAATGATTCGCATCATAAATGTATTTTATAGGTTAGAAATGTAGCTTATTTAGAATCAATATATTAAAAATGTAAAAAAAAAATCACTAACATTTTTTATCTAATGCCTGGAGCCAAATGTCCTTGACAAGTTTTGCATGTGGAATATATTTTGATAACCTTGGGAACCATTATTGGTCCTGACGTACATTTTTATTTATACCTACTGGCTACTTGTTCATTGGCAATATATATCTAGAAGTACTGCATTATAGTAGCTTCGGCATGTATTTTGGTCAATATTGCCTCGTTGATATTTCAATTTGGTATATTATTATTTTTATTTTCGTATTTTTTACAACAATATTTATAATTTAACAAAAAAACAGTTATTAGAAATTATACTCCTAAGCTTAATGATTTGTATTTATTTTATATTGAACCAACTATGTTATTCATAAATAGATACACTTAACCAGGTTAAAATCAGAGTTAGGTAATTTTAACTACGTTAAAACCGGAATCAAATTTGTTAATATACGCATAGAAATATTTAAGTGTATCTGTAAGCCTCCAAATAATGGCGTTGGATAATATGTAAAATTAGATTTAATAATTATAATATATCATATTTTAGTCTTCGGCGTTTTGCAAACACTATTAAATATGAGCATTTTAGCTGGTGTACGTACTATAAATTATAATCTAATAGCAAGTTTGTATCTGCTGGTATTTTGGTATTTATATTGCTAACGCATAAAATATGTATTACTATTATTTTTTTTCAGTTATAGTTACTATATACATTAATTTAACTCACTAATACTCACAAATTACTGGGTCAAAATAAAATAATATGAGAGTATACAGAATAGCCAATGTCTCGAAAAGTTAATTTTTCGTTTAAAATATAAAATTTCACTTTTTTTAAATATAAATGTGGGCATATAATCCTGCTATTATAGTTAGGTACTTAAAATCGTATATCCTATATCTATTACATAATATTCTTAACATTTGTACAATATTAATTACCGATTAACAATTTTGAATGATTTATTATGTTAAATTAGTCTGTAATATTTTAAGACAATTATAGCTTTATAAGGAGCATTAATATAGCAATCGGTATAATAATAAATAATATGGTTAATTTAAATTTGTGATGTTCATATAATTTTAGTAATTCGTTTTTCTTATGCGTTCTATTTATTTCAATATTAATATTTAAAATTCAAATCTAGTAGACGATAAAAACTTGAAGATACAAATATAGCTACCTATAACCCAACAGTAATATTGTTTAACAATACTCAGTCTTAGTTTAGCGTGTCCATTAGTTATCTACGATTCGTTTATCTTTACGCATTATCCTCCAAATACGCTGGACAGAGGCTGGTCTATAAAGGAGAACGTAGGTATACTATAGTGCAGTAGGTAGTCTCTTATATTAACATAATATATTATTAAAATATTGCTTAAGCACATATAACAAATATGATAGCTGTTTTTAATTAATACCGATTAAATAAAAAAAAAAATGATAACTTGTCCCGTTCACATGTAATTTACTCGAATACACGATATTGCGGTTGGAATATAATACTGCTACAAGTACCTACGGTGTTAAATGTTTTCTGTTGGGTATAGAAGCAAATAATTATCTATCGAATCATATGTTTTTCACAAGTAATAATTATATGTATATATATGTATTACATTACTATACGACCGGCCAACGCTTTATTATGGATCAGATAAAAAAACACGTGCACAACTGTTAAATCGACGTCTTGTAATTTATTGAGTGCTGTTGGCCGAGGAATCGTTTGTCGTGATTAATTTTGCATTATCGGATGTTTTTAAACTACACACGAGCACAATGAATGAAACCGGAATAATGGCACAATGCGTGATTATACAGCGGAACGGCCATTATTGGGACACGTAATTTAACATATTTTCCACGGTGTGCAACAATTATTTTTCGTATCAATATTCGCGTACGAAAAAATTGTGAGTCGCAGTCGTATAGACTTAGCCGTGACCGTTTAATATTGTGTTTAACGTTTATACCTGACAAGAGCGCCCATCAATCATAACGAAAGTGGGTGACAATCATGAAATAAAACCAAGGACCATCAAAATTGCTTTCATTAAAATAACAGAACACAGATACGTCATACGACATAGCGTCGCCGTCGTGCAACAAGTGTCTAAGTGAAATTTGAACTTTGTTGAGAAAAAACAATTGAATATTCACAATGGTCTAGAAAATAGAAATTCACAAGTTCGTTCGATTTTAATAATTTTTGTTTTAAAAAATCCATGAAAAAGTAAAGAATTTTAACCTTGAATTTTATCTAAGTTAATATTTTATTATAACTAGTAGAATAGTTGAAAAATAAATAAAGTTAGATGAAAAAATGACCAACTGGCTTCTTATTCACTTGATCAAATTAAGAAATGACTGACTGACTTACTCAAATCACTTGGTAAAAAATTGTAGGAAAATATAAAAATATAATTATTTATTACAAAACAAAACTGAGTGATAACGTGATTTCATTTTATTTTCTAATATTATCATTTATTTTATTGATGAAGGAAAATAACGGTGTGTCCATGTAGACACATTTTTCACCAATATCGTATTGTATTAAAACTGACCAAGTGCACTATTGGTCATAATTTAATGTAATGTGAAAACTGATCAAATACCACTTGGACCATTTTTCAACTAAGAAAAAAATAATTTAACACTTAGTCAAAATACACCAGTCTATAACTACATTTTTAGAATTTTCACTTGGTCAATTTTTCTACAATTGAAGGAGGACTATATGAGAACTATATTTGGCCATACGGTCACTTTTTGCCCGACGGTGACGAATTAGATAAACGATGCATCTATGAAGAATTATTATCAGCACAAATAGTCTACTATTTAAAACTAAAAAAATATTAACACATCTGTCTAGGCCCTAGGGGGTTGACGTTGTGACGAAATTTAAACGTCCAATGACCGCCCTTTAATCTTGATACCTATTTAATAATTGAATAATTTATACTAGAATAATCGGTCGGAAAGACGATACTTACCCGCTGCAAACCTGAAATACGAGTAAGTATATATATATCAGTGGACGCGGCCATTTCTGCTGCAAAAAGGCAATTAATATTATATCCAATTATAATGTTACTGGTGGTGTTTGACGAATTTTGTCCTGAAAGGCTGATACACTTTTAAGGCGTAAGATTACAGAAAATTGACAACCAAAACACTAATATGATGAACGTTGTTGTCATCCTATCGATGTTGACATGTTGTTGATATAAAACTGTGATTTTTCTATTATATTTTTCTACCTTAATTTTCCATACGGTTTTCCTTCTCAAAACGCATTTTGATGGCTATAAGCACGAGAACATTAAACATCGCTGTGGTAAAAATGTATTTTATGTTTTAAGAAAGTTAGTTTTGATCAATTCCTTTTTTGATTATAACCCATACAATTAAATACCTGGAAAAATTTGACTTAAGTGTTGTTATTATTATATATATTGTTTGACTATATGATTATAGAATAGTTATGTACCACTTAAATAGTTGGATTACATAATATTAATATCTAAATTTATGATACTGGACAACGAATTTCCATGTTATAGTTTCTGCAGTTCCGCTATACTTGTAAGTTGTAAGTATATGGGTTAGTTGGGATATATAGGACACATGACGCGTGTATGATTTATTTGACATAATATGCATTAGGGCTTATTAACTGTTTTAAATGTATACCACTGCATAATTGCACTTCTATTATAAATACCTACTTTAGATTTATGTTTGGTCTTATTGGTGCATGTTGGCGTATGACTGTATGAGTATTATTATAAAGGTAATAAACTGCAGTAGGTACCTATCATGTATATATAAGATACAAAAACAAGCAATTAGCGTTTGTTAATATTAATACAAATTGCGTTTGTGCAAGTTCTGTTGGCCACATATTTCTGAATAACACATAACTTTTTGATAGGCAGCTATAAAAATATTTTTTTTTTTTACAAATTATCTACTAAACTGCCTTGATGGTTAATGCATATATTAGGTACTATATAAGGATTTTGGTCGGTTTGATGGAAAATAACTTAAACAGTCATAATAATTACATAAATCATTTATTATGTATACAACTTACGAATTAGTATTATAGGAGTTTTTTCTCTAACAAACAGCAAATATGTAACATAAGATGAATATAATATATTATATGTACATGTTTTACAGTACAACCTGATGAAGACGTTACTGTACCGTAATAATGACGTATTTAAATGACATATTATAATATTATATACGTATGACGTGCGTGTGTCATTTAGCGAGTAGAATAAAATTACAAATCACGTAGAAAAAAAAATAATAATGATAATAATAATTAATATATAGATCGTAAACAGCAAGAACGAGAGGGATCGTATATTATAGAATATACATAATATTATATCAGTCCGCCGCGGAGTAACGGAAATGGGAAGACACGCGGGTCAGGTCACCCTGTCATACATCGACGAATTTAAGTAATTCATAAAATTAAACGTTCTCGTCTTTCGTGAAAACGTTTTAGCGTATTCGGCCTATGACGCCTGTAAATACGCATAGTTAAAAATCAAAAACTTAACACCGCGATTTGCGAATCGGTAGGGGTGGGGAGGGGTTCGCGTTTTTAAAAAAAAATGTACTTTTTTTCTTCCTTTCGGGAATAAAAATGAGATCAGCGGTCACAGTCGTTGTCGCGACCGTGCGCGGCGCCGATGACCGCGGCCGACTGAAGTTCGGTGGTCGCAGCGTACGCCAGCTGGACAGCAGCGGCCGTGGCCGCGGACACGGGTGACAGGTTGTGCGTGAGGCTGTGCCGGCGCAGGTCGCAGTTCCGGCGGAACACTTTGCTGCACGTCGGACAGTTGTACGGTTTGATGTCTGTGTGCGTCAACAGGTGCGTCTTCAGATTGGACCGCTGGTTGAAGCTCCGGCTGCACACCGGACACTTGTGCGGCGACTCCTCCAAGTGGAGGATCTTGTGCACGGCCAACGTGCGCGACTGGCAGAACCCCTTGCCGCACTCCAGACACTTGAAGGGTTTCTCCTTGGAGTGAATGTACCTGTGAACGTGAAAAACACACGTGTCGATCGATATAAATATAGGATAATAATATGACATTGTAATGATAATAATTTATATGCAAAAAGTGTGCCGCGTGCGCTGGGCTAGGAACTTATGTAAATAATATGGTATTATGTCGGTACCTATATAGCTGCGATATTGTATACCCGTACAGTGTTGGATGTACCTTTATAATATACATGATGATTTTTTTAAGCATTTTCACACTATTTCTGTGATTAAATTATGCATATATATTTAAATTTTGATTTATGAAATTTTTAAATAAACTTAAAAATCATATTTTTGATTACTTGTATTTTTTTTTGCATATTACAAAGATGATCCTGTGACAATACAAAATTCTGGATTATAGTTAGACCTTAGTATAAATATTTTAATAACTAAGAATTTAGATACATCAAAATTTTCAAGGAAATCATTCTCTAAATAATTTTCAAGAAATAAGAGTGTTCTCATTTGAAAAGTACAAGTTTTTACCACCTATAAAGACATTCCTACACTATTAAAGGAAAAAACGGGAGTGAGCATGCAGAGAAACTGTACTGGTACACCGGAATGACTGGATACTGTTCTATCTGTAGTGCGGAAGGAAATGGGAAACCACTACACTTACAGTTCCCGAGTAAAGTTCAAGGAAAATGAACTGTTGTGAAATTGGTTAAAATTAAATATAATGTCTTTTCACAATTGCTCGTAAAATTAATATACTGTATTATATTGAGCATCGACAAAATATTTTTTGGAGCTTTTATATTTTTTTTATTTGAGTTCCCATAAGGCTTTAATAATTTAAAATTATGTAGGTTAAATTTTACATAAGATAATACGACACCTTATAAATATGTTTTATAAATGCTTATGACTTATAATTAGCACATACTATTTTTGTAGGTACGATGCAAATATAAAAATAAGTATTCGTGACGTGTAACACGTGTAGGCATGTCAAGTTACAAGATGTATCAATATAAGGTATCGTGTTGTATCTGTTCAGAAATTTTCACATAGAATGATAACCTCATCAGACAAATAGAAAAAAAAAGCTGCTCTGCTGTACAGTAGGTTACAAGTGGGTCATTGTATAATGGATGGTATTAAATTTGAATTCAATGATACAATATCATTGTATAAGAAAAACGATTCTGAGCGGAGACGGTATGTCAGTCTAGGTTTAAGACATATTATATCAATGGTAATAAAAAAAAATATGCAGTCTTATCATTGAGCATACTTCTGGGCCATAATATTTTGATTTTTTGATTTTTCAGTTTCATATATTCCCGAATAATACTTTTAAATTACAACAAAAAACCAAAATCGTTAATATTGATTTTAATAAGTAATTTCGACCAAATTTGAACTTAAAATTACTATAAAAATAAACTGTGCTTGTGTATTTTTTAGATTTTTTGGTAACAGAATTAACTACTTATTTTTAATTTTCAATCCTTAGATAGAAAAGTTGAACACTTTATAAATTTTTAGCTACAAAATAATTATTCAATTTTAAATTTGATAAATATTGTCAAAATTCGATCTTTAAATGCTTATAAAAAAAAATTGTGCCTATGTATTTTTAATATTTTTCAACTGATATTGTAACAATATATCAGGAGCCTTGTATTACATTTTTACACTTTTTGGCAAAACAGATAAAACTTTATTGATATTTATTTTGAAAATGTTATCGTGTATAGAAAATGCTAATATAAACATTCAGTCAAAATATCATGTACCAACGGTAATTTTTTTAAGAGTTGCACCAAAAACCAAAATCGATTTTTTCGAAAACAGATTTTAGTGTAATAATTCCCGTTTTTCCTTAATTTTTATTTTGTTTTTCACGCTGCTTTTGAAAACTACTTTGAAATTTTCACTTTTGACCCTCCAAAGTACCAACTAGATTCACTTTCCTATCAGGAAAGTTACTGTTGAAGAAAATCCAAGCACTTTTACTGTCCTAAAACGTGATGACAGACACAAAAAAAAAATGAAAAAATAAAAAAATAAAAAAAACACACATCATTGTAAAATCATACATTCATCGTTCCACTCAGAATCTAAAATACTACCGTATTTTTTTATTTAAACCCCTTCTCTACCCAATAATATACAGGCTGTGTCGTTGAAAGGTTGTCTCGAGGTGACCGATCTAATGGGGTCGTTGGAAAAAATTCTCGTTAAGTATTTTATCGGTAAACGAACGCCATATTGCATATTACAAATAATAATATATTATATTCTGAGGTCGTTCTACAATCGCGCAATCCCTATAATATATTATAGGTACGCAACGTTCCTACTTTAATATCGAAATTTAAAGATTTCACACACTATATATTATATTGTGTCGTGCAATACTCGTAGAAAATGTAATATATTTATGCACATCGGTCATCTTTATTGGTATTGCAATAATGCAATAGGTCTTACGAATTTATCCAATTTCTTTTCTTTTCGAGCGCCAACGTATCCCTTGTTGTTTCCATTATTAAAGCATTACCTACGCGTACTTATTACGTCTGGAAATTCGAAATTTGATTATTCGAAACGAAACGAATCGCGTCTACTAGAAATTATAGAAGTACATAATAATGTGTTATATTAACATTTGGATTTCATTATTCGAATATAGTGTAAGAATACGCAAACAGCAAAGTCCTGAAATGTGGTTCTAATGTGTGTTGCAGTGCTTTCTAGTCGATATCGCACAGCCGCAGAGGAACTATACCTATATATTACCTGTTTACCTTACCTACACAGCTGTGTGTACGTTTGACCTGCAGCGACTCGCACGAATATTGTCCGAATTTGCCGACACGTTTTTCGATAACGACCATAGGCGCCCACCACATTATAATATTATTAGTAATTTTGATTTTCACGCGTGCGCGATGACAGGTCGACCTAGTATCATATATTATCTATGTATGAGACGAATAATTATTATTTATCGCCTGTATCCACCCGTTTCAGTGTAATATCATTATGTTCTCGGTGTTATGCAAAATAATATGTTTTATCTTAATCAGCTCAAAAGCCACCCAATTACAGTCGTTGAACTTCGTTATTTTTAAACGACTATCTTCGTTACTTCTCTCTCTATAGGTGCCTACTAATTATTATTGATAAATCTTGAACACAAGCTCCGTGTTGCGCCATTGTAAACGGAAACTGTACCACTGCTGCGACCTTGTGCACTGTCCGTTTGTACTGCGGTTATGACGATATTACCGATTATATTATTATGATTAAACATAGGTAGGTAATTGATAATTATTAGTTAACATTCCCCGAGAAGAAAAAATTTTGTAAGAAAAAAAAATAAAAATATTGAAACGAGGTTATTATTCAAATATTATTATTTCCTATTTCGTTTCTTAGCTATCTGGCTACAGTAGTGCAGTGATCACTATTGTTGTTAAATGTCGTGTCGTAGCAAATAAAAATTATTATTTTTCAAATACATATTATTATATATTCCCTACTAATTTATCAAACTAAATGTTGTAAAAATATTATGTTTAGGTATGTCCAACAGCCGTTGCTGGAGCAACCAATGTTTAATCTTTAAAGCATGAGTATTACTTGAAGCTTAAATACTATACACATAGGTATAGTAGGAATACTACACACTATTATATACTTCGGGGGATGATCGGGGATCAGAATCGTCGTGCAAAGTGATACATATGTGGACGATGTGCAATGGAAAATATTGTGCCACCTGCTAAATATAGACTGCAGGTAGAAAACGTTTTCGTACTCTTGTACAGGATCATGTCTAACATAGGTGCAGATAATGTAGGTAGTGTATAGGTCATAGGTGCGAAATGATTGAATATTTTTGAACGAAAAATCGTTCAGGTATATAAGACCACTGAAAAAAATTAAAATATTATGTCAAAACAACGCGCGTGGAATAGGATATTATAAATATCGGTAGGTAGGTAGGTAATTAGTTTCGTCTGCAGAGGTATTGATTAGAATATTAATATATTATATTCGCGCGGTATAACGTCCACGACGCGGTTGCCCCGTGTGGTTTCAAAGGTGCAGGAAAGGTGCGGCATCCTTACCGTATTGTTTATGTATATTATTTGTGTGTGTGTGAGAGTGTGCGCGTCTATGAATTATTATTACCGGTATCTACACAGACTTCAAGGCGATCGAAGATCGCAATCGCACACATATTATTATCCGGCTGTTGTACACCAGCGAGGCAATAGAATATTTTTTTGAATAAACCAACTCGATCGGTATATTATATACATATAATATATCTTGTGCAGTGTTGCGGTATTTTTTTTTTATTTTTACCTTTGGTAAATTCCGCATTTATATCGAATATTACCACGCACTGCGTACACCTATAATAATTCCCATATTTCCTCCCAATTATTATGTTTATCTTTACGGTTTTTTTTGTCCAATCAAACTAGTTTTACAGCTTTTTCGTTTGCCTTTATGGCACCGCCAAAATAATGTTTAATTTAATTACGTCGTTTCTTAATTATTAATTTGTGTAACGTTTGCGTTAAAAAAAAATAAAATTTTATCAGGAATGTTAATCGTGACTTATAAGTACTATTAATACTTATTATATATATTACCGTCTTTTATTTTAGTCATACCTATGTAATAAAAAATAGCGGTATGCTACTAGATATTTCTCCTTCGCAAGAAAAATTAAGGATTCATAGAAATGTTTTTGGGTATAGCGCAGTGGAAAAATATCTAGTAACATAAATTAATAAATATTATAATACATATTTTATACTAGCGCTTCTATGGTGCTAAACAATATGTTACGTAAAATCGGTGAGTAAAAGACAGTTGTAACTATCCCAAAAAATATCTATGTTAATTAGTGTGTAAACTTGTTACAAATTAAAAAAAAAAATGGCATGTTGAACAATCAGTTTAACTATATTATAATGTGTTATTAATTATAAATTAAAGTAAAAGTGTACGGTAAAGAGTAAGTTGTAATCACTACAGTTGTAAAATAATTATTTAATTCGTTACGTGAC